TCTTCGTCATGTGACAGAGAAAATTTCTGAAAGCCCTAAAAGCGGAATGATGTGTTATTTGCTAAACTTGGATTGAGCTTGAAATAAGTAAGCAATAAATCTATTATTGTTGAATCTCTAAGTCATGAAATCTATTGTTCTTAAAACTCGAATTCTCTATTATTTTTCTTAATTTTTTTATAGATTAGAGGTCAACATTATGATGGAGTAAGTAATATGTGTGGTGAGTTCAAAGGATTAAAAGCTTTGGTCTTGCAAGAAAATAGCTCCGCATACTACATACATTGTTTTACTCACCAACTTCAGTTTGTGGTTGTGGTGGTTGCAAAAAACAACCAAGTCTTTGGGGATTCTTTGAAATGATGAGCACCGTATGCCATGTGGTGAATGGTTCATGCAAATGGAAAGATATGATGCGGGAGAGTTACAAGTTAAGAATGCAAGAAGCCCTTGGAGCCGGTGAAATCAAAAGTGGAACGGGGTTAAATCAAGAACTTTGTCTTACATAAGCCGAAGATACACGATGGGGTTCTCATCAGAAATCAATTGTGAGTTTAGTCAATTGGTTTCCAAATGTTGTAAAGTTGCTTCATTGGATTATGGAGAAAGGTGATGGTCCCATCAGAAGTCAAGCATTTAGTGTTCTTGAATATTATCAGACTTTTGATTTTGTGCTTTATTTGCATTTAATGTTGGAGTTTTTAGTGGTGGCAAATTTATCGTCAAAAAAGGATCAAAAAATCTTGAAAGTGGCTGCATTGATAGAAGGGATGAAAGCACAACTACAAAGGTATAGAGAAAGTGGGTTTGAGACCTTTTTGAAAATAGTTGAATCTTTTTGTGGTTTACATGATATTCCGAAGAAGGACATGGAGGAAGAATTTGTAAATACAAAAAAGAGTAAGGCAAAGGACACAAATTACCAGCAAACATCATTATGAGTATGATGTAATTCAACACTGTCATGGATTTGCAAATTCGGTAATTCAGTGATCGTTTAGTGAGATAAGCACCGAATTGATTAAAAATTTGGCGGCTTTGAGTCCTCTTGTCGTTTTCTAAGTTCAACAAATCAAGTTTAGCGAAGCTTTGGGAGTTCTATCCATATGATGTTGATGACATGGATAGGGTCAATACTCGGGGTGAAAGATGTTTTTCTACAATGAAGCTTATGAAGTCGAATTTACGCAATCAAATGGGGGATGAGTTTTTGAATGTCGTGGTCATTTGTGCCGTCGAAAAAGAAGCGCTTCACAATGTCAATAATAATGTTGTAATTACCCGCTTTCAAAAGATGCGACCTCGTCGAGAACAATTGTAAAAGTTAACTTGTTTTATCGTATTAATGAATTCGTATTTTTACTTAAAACTTTTTTTTTCAACTTTTTGTTTGTACACTCGCTCCTCTAAAATCCTAGGTCCACCACTAACTTAAATGGTACATAAAATGAATTTTATTTTAAATATTGCCTCATAATAAACAAAACAACTCTAATGTTTGTGCAATGATGAACGAAACATTATTGCTTTCTTAAATTTTGATGCAAATAATTTATAATTAAATACCAAATAATAAAAGAAAATTTATGTAGTATAATTAAGACCCTTGAGAAAAAAGAAGTGTATCCGAATGTAACCAAAGAAAAATATCAAGTTTTCTTTGATTTTTGAAAATTGAAATCCACATATTCTTTACCATGAACACGAACATATTACAGAAAAATTTGTTGCACTTCAAACCATGAACATGAACACAAGAACATAGGCAACAAGTTTTTGCCAATTTCTAAAAAAATTTGAACCAAACGTATCTATACCCTAAATAAAAAAATCTATCATCAAAAACTTTCTCCAACAATCTAAATAAAAACTAAAAAATTTCGTGAACATTTTCCCATTTGACGGATGTGCTTAGTTAGTTATTGGAAATTAAGTAGCCTTAAAGCATGCCGATCAAATTACATGGAAAATAATTATCCACGCAACGATGTTGCTATAATTTGTTAATTAATATCGGTTTCATAGGGTTTTGACAAAAATGAACTAATACATTTTTAGAACTTACTTTTGTATAAAGGTTGTAGATATTTATGTTAATATCTTAAGAGCTGTAAACAATTTCATGTGCTTTATTAATTGGTATTTTCATTTTTAACAACTGGTACCAGTTTCTTAATTTATGGAGATTATGGCTTGCATTTTTGTGACGAAATTGGAAAGGAAATAAAGCAAATGATGGAGCAAGTATGAGCATCCATAGCGGTTCTTCTCTCTAAATTAAGGGACGTATTTGATATTCAATGAGGGAGAAACTTTATTTATTAGGAAGGGCAATTACAAAACATTCTTCTTCCATATATGATCCAGTAAAATCAACAAATCTTATCTCACATGCATTTGATTCCAAGGCCAAAGATGGGCATGATATAATGACATTCGAATTGACGGATGTCGCCCGAATAATAAATTCTAACTATACACTAGTTACGACCAAGATCGTAATAACGATAAGTTGGGTTGAATCCACAGAGACTGAGAATCGGCTTGATCAAGTTCTCAATACTAGAAATATCAAGTATAAGAAGGAATATTTAAAAGTAAATACAGAAGGGAGGGAAGGTTAGATTTGACTAACAGCCTAAGCATGCTATTAAAATGATCATAACTCAATGTAATAAAAACCTCAACAATAGTTCACTTATGTGATGATTTGATATAAAATAGTTAAATCAAGCTCTAAATACATAATCATTTACGGGATTTATGTTAGTCTCCGTTAACATAGTGAATATTGTCACCAATATCAACTTGATGTTAAAAGGAGGTAGAAAAATGATTAAAAAAACCGTTTGGAGGGATTTTTATTTACATGATAGTCGATACTTGCTCTATAAATCGTTCGTATCTAGCGGCCATTGACGGCCTACTTGTAGTGATATTCATAATACAACTTAATCACTTATGTGATAGCAAATAGTTAAATCAATAACTAAATACATAATCATTTATGGCGATTGATGTTAAGCACAGTTAAAGTAGTGAATTTTGTAACATATATCTACTTGATGTTAAGTGAATTAGGAGAATGATTAAAAAAAGGTTAACCGAGCTTGTGTATTAAAATTTTGTAATTAGGTTTCATTAAAACTTCATGCTAACCTCATCTTGGATTTAAGATCTTGCTTTAATCAATTTGAGTGTTAAGTTCCAATTGTAGAGCTTATTTTGATTGAATGTCATGTATGTTGAAATTGGTCATTAGAGCTTGCTATTCGATAGAGCCGTTTTAGTTGTGTAATACGAATGTTTTATCTATCGTTGATGATTATAGCTCGTGAATCATATCTTCTTTCACTACAACAAAATCGGGTTTATAGGAGTCCACCAATTTATAAGCGTTTTAATAGACCGCTTTATAAAACTCAATTTATAGAACCCAAAAATAAACTGTCTTATCTAAAGACATTGTAATAAGTTTACAGGACGCTTTTGGACATCTAAAACAGTTTTTTAGGGCACTTTTAAGTGTCGCATTAGCAATTTTATAGGACACTAATTGAAAATAGCAATTTTATAGGACACTAATTGAAAAAATGTCTTATTTTCTCAAAAATGTTCTATAAACTTATTACAACGTCTTTAGTGACGATTTATTTTTTGGTACTATTAATTAATTCCTATAAAATAGTCTATTAAGACGCTTAGAAATTGATAGCATCCTACAAACTCAATTTTATTGTACTATTTTATAAACCATGTTGGATTCTATTCATTCTGATTTTTTTAGTTTAGTTATATTGGCATGATTGTTTAAAATCAACAAACAATCCCCCTTCTAAATTATTTCTTTTATCACCTTGTTTATATATATTCGGCGTGCATCTTATAATTAGTCACGAGTACAAATAGAATCACCCTACTTATTTCTAGTAAAATTAATATTGCACAAGAGATATGAGGACACAATATCTGATGAACTTGGCATCTGTATACACACCTTCGGAACATTTTTTATCATGCAAAATCAACATTAAGAACTTATGATATCTTCATCGTTGAACTCTTCGGAATGTTTGATCAATTCCCTAAAAATCTTGGTTCTTATTTTCTATGGCTTGATTAGTTGTCTTCTGAAATTTGATAGTTGTCGATATCTTGAATCCTTCTCACACCTGATTTCTAAATTGTCTTAAGAAAACAGTTTGGTCCTCTGAACTCATCTTTAGAAATCATTTTAGAACCCATAAATTTTCCCAAGTATAAAGACTGATATCAGTTTACATTTATAAGGCTTAAGAGATGATATTTGAAGTACAAAAACACTCTCTGTCATCTTATGAGCTTATTATGTTTCAATGCTAAGTAGTAATTACAACCCACTTGTTGAAATCCTTTTTTATAACAAATGTAATTTAGTTCCTCATTACAAATCATATTCCATTCTATAATAGGTCGTGGTTTTCCTACCAGGTATGATTACCCTATTAGAACGGTGTACCATAAGTTTATATAAGCATATTTTGTTCAAAATTTTGTAGTAATTATTTTTCTACAAGTAATTTATTTGCGAACTATGGTTATTCTACGTTTGTTCAAGGACATTTACATTTTCAAATTTTTATTACTTTCAAAAACTATTTTGTAGAGAAATCCAATTAAATCTCACAACAGTAATTTCAAATACTTTCCAAATACCAAGTTTTATTGAAAGCTAAAACCAATATACATAAGACCAGAACTTCTCCCCAAAAGACTTTTTATTCAATGATAAAACTAGTTTATTTTTTAAATATATAAGACACACTTATAAACTATAAGAAGTTATCGTCACAACTCAAGTAACTTGAGAAAGAGAGAATTAAACAGAAACATTAGGAGTAATATTCGCCTTAATCACTAGGGGGTTAATATATTAGCAGTTAGGAAGGGTAACCCCACAAGTGCTAGCTATTTTCATGAACTTAGGAGAAATAATATAATCTCTCACTATTGGGATCCTTATGTACTGGCATATACATGAGAGTTGTTCTGCCAATCTCCTGCAACATAGGTTTGATGGAGGTGGTGGTGATGGTGGTGGCGATGGTGACAAAGGAGGCGGTGGTGACGGTGATGGTGGTGGTGACGAAGGAGGCGGTGGTGGCGGTGATGAGCTGGGTGGTGATGAGGGTGGTGGTGATGACATGGGTGGCAACAAAGGTGGAGGTGATGACCTGGGTGGCATCGATGGTGGCAATGATGACCTGGGCGGGGATGAAGGTGGCGGGGATGACCTAGGTGGCGACAAAGGGGAAGGTGATAACATGGGTGGCACTAATGGTGGCGTTGATGACCTGGGTGGGGATGAAGGTGGTGGGGATGACCTAGGTGGTGACAAAGGGGAAGGTGATAACCTGGGTGGCACTAATGGTGGCGGGGATGACCTGGGCGGGGACGAAGGTGGCAGTGATGGCCTGGGTGGCAATGAAGGTAGCAATGGTGACCTAGGCAATGGTGGTGGTCGTGATAGTAACAATCGAATTTGAGTTGGCAACGATGCAAAACATGGCCTTAGGTCTGTCACCAAGCATGTCGTCGCAGTCGTCACCGGAGATCTGGCCAAGACCATCACCAAAATTGCTATTGCACATACTGTAATGTAAGTTGATCGCATCATTTTTCCCCAACTCGAAGAATGCAAAGAGAGAAATTAACGCTTCTAGAGAAGTTGTGTTTTCTGTAGGCATCTCTTGCATGAATTTATAGAAAGAGACACTCCACAATGGAAACATATCGCCATCATGAGGCGGCTTTGTACATTTGCTTTAAAATTAGATCCTCAAAAATAAATTATTAGAAGTGTAAAAGTAAAATCTTACTTCAATGAATTTCCTATGAGGACATAGGATGGCAAAATAACTATAAACTAGATGAAAATCTAGTCAGTAAACAAATTGAATTTCATAAGCAATTTGATAAATTTATGATTGTGCAACTCTTGTTAATAAAATTACATGGAGAATTTACAAAAAGGGTAGTTAACCATCCGATGTCGTAATTTCTACATTAGGATGTTGGAACGTTGACAATGAAAAGAAAAATAACATGCATTTTTTACAATAAGCGTGCATGGTGCATAAAATGACGCTCGATAATAATAATTAAACCAATTGCATTCTAATTAAATGGTCGTTTTAAATTGAGTTATGATGAATGGAGCTATTGTCTTCTTAAATTATGATGCAATTAATTTGTAATTAAATGCCAAATAGAAAACTTGTAAGAAAACTTGTGTGTTACAATTAAAACGCTAAGAAAATTTTAGGTATATTTCCTCCACCCTCACACTTTTTGTTTCCACCATAGATTAAGGCAAGGTGGTTTTGAAATCAAAAACATGTAATTTTCTTTTTTATGTAACTCTCATATTATTATTTGGGAATTATAAAACCAAAAACTCTCATGATTTTTGTTAATTTATTATTGATCTTGTTTTTTTTATAATATTGATGTTCTATCTATAATATTTTTGAATTTGTGATTGGTAGAGGAGACTCGGTAGTAAGTTTTTGGTATCGTTCAAGCTATTATGTATAAACTCATTGTTCACAAGTGTTCATATTGTGTTCATATGTACATTAACTGCATATCTCAACATTGGTTCGCTCCTGAATGTGTTCAGAATGAAGGAACTATTGTTCACAAGTCTTCATATTGTTTTCATATGTACACTAGTTGCATATCTCAATATTGGTTCGCTTCTGAATGTGTTCATAATGAAGTAACTATTGTCCACAAGTTGTTCATATTGTGTTCATACATGTTTTTTATTTATTTCCTTTAGTGTAGCAGCAAATCTTATTATGTTCATATTGTGTTCATAAATGCTATGCAGTCCAAGTTCATATATATGTCAATTTTTGTTCGTATTTGACACAATGATTCATATATATATATATATATAACAAAAATGATGATATTTTTTGATTTTGTAACTCCCAATTAATGATATGGGAGTTACATAAAAAAAGAAAATTACATAAATACCCTTTTACACTTGGTTCACATATGTTTGTGAAATTGTAGATTTAAAAAATTAAATTTTTAATATGATAAATTACAACCATTTATTGTAAGAATCAATGACCAAGTTTGGTTAACAAAATTAACACCATAATTTTGATTAACATTTGAACCAACCCATATATATATATATATATATACACACACGTACATAGTCCATCCTTTTGAAAATTGCCCAAAGGTCATCTTTGTCATAAAAAATATTTTAAATATAAAAAATTAACTAATTTAACAAAACCAATATACATATTAAATGCTTCAACATACACACGTATTGTTTCATATATTAAACAACTAATAAACCTTAAAATCATAAAATTAAATCTTATCTCCAACAAAATTGGTTGATTAACATACAAAAATGAGGAGTATCAGCGATGGAAAAATCCGCCACAAATCCGTCGGCCTATTCCGTCGCTAATCTGTCGCTGATAGTTTGTCGGTCAAAAGCTCATAGGTAATGCTATCTACGACAGATCAGCAACGACATTTAGCGATAGATCAACAACCGGTGTTTTTAGCAATGGATCATGGACAGAAAACATTCTACGACGAAAATCTGTTAGCGGCGGATTAACGACGGATAGGAAAAAAATCAATTTTGTCGCTAATCCCTCGCTAATCAACGACGAATTATCGACGAAATGGATTTTGGTTTATCCGTCGCTGATTAGCGAGAGCTATTTTAAATCAGCGACGGACAAAATTATCAAAGATTCAGATTCCTTAAGAGATCCATTCGAGGAACATGGGGACTAATTGAAGTAATGAGCCTCCCATTGAGAGGAATCATCAAAGAAAAGAAAAAGGTTGAGCTCGAGTTTTAGCAAAAGCAGCTCTACTGGGCCGTATCGATTGGTTGAAAGGCCTGAAAGAAAACGTTGTTCTGGGGGGGATCATACCTGTTGGTAGCGGCTTCAAAAATAATGATTTTGGAGGTTGTGTAATGCTTACTCTCAAACTTTTCGTTTACACAGTAGTAATATTCTTTGTTTCTCTCTTCATCTTTGGATTCCTATCCAAYGATCCAGGACGTAATCCTGGACGTGAAGAATAAAATAAAAATTTCGTTTTTCTTGCTTGATTTTACAATTTTCTTAAGATTTTATTTTATCTATTCCACACGTTTAACTAGTAAAAAAATAAAAAGGGGGTTGCGAAATTTGAAAGAAAAAATGTTTGGCCTATCCTTTGCTAATATGTCGTTGATTAGAGAGAGCTATTTTCCGTTGCTAATAACCATAAATAATTTGTTTTCTAATAGTGATATTCATCTTTTTGCATGAAAGTAGTGCAAGCGAATTACATTCGCTTTCGTTCATGATGGTCACCAACAACCGAGGGAGTGACGAAGACAACCGGATGAAATAAAAAATTCGATTTAATACCTTCTAACCTTGGCAAAACTTCTTTTCCCAATATTTATCGTCAAATCCTTTATTTCATGAACATTTTTCCACTTGACGACGGTGTTTAGTTAGTCATTGGAAATTAAGTTGCTTTAAAATGCAATAATGTTGCTCTAATTTCTTAATTAAGATCAGTTACATATTGTTTGACGAAATAAACGAATGCAATTTTAGCACTTATGTAACGGCTATTTATTAAGGGATTAGAAATTTAAGTTAATATCTTAAGAGTTCGAATGGATGATAATGATTTATAAAGGGACCACGAAGTGCAAAAACCTTGAACTTAAACTAAAGAATCGTTGTGAGACATGCATGTTCCCCACAAGTCGCTACACGAAATCTAACCTATTACGACAACTGAAAGATCAAAAATTCATCGCTCTAGATCTATTGTGACCAGTTTCGTCGCTGTAGAGCTTTTCACTGTTTGTTCGTAGTTGTAGCTTGGTATCAATAAATCGTCGCAAGAAACTTAAAACAATTAAGAATTAAATATTTTATCTAATGCGATGACATAAAAGAATTAAGAATTAAATCTCTCGAAAACATATAAAACCCTAGGAAAGAGCTCCTATTTATAGCTTATAGTAGAAAAGTCAACACATTCTCCAATGATGGATTTCCACATGTAAAGGTGAAATAACCGCTTTCTGTATACGTGACAGGTTGTGATAGGTAAGGGCTTCTTGAGAGATCTTCTGTTGAACATTTAATTAGCATTTATACAGAGTTGGACCAAATGCTCTACATGTATAGTGCAGAGGCTCTTTATAATAAGACCAGAGGCTCTGCATCTCCGAAACTTGTTTTATTTATCTATTAGCTCTGTATCTTGGAAAGATTTTGTTGCGGCTCTTGTTCAACTGGCTTCTTGTGCAGAAGTTCTCTGGATGAGAACTTGACTTATTTTTACAATACTTTTACATGAATAAACAAAGTCTAACAAGCAACAATAAAATGTGGAAGATTTGATGGTATTGGATTTCATGACAAAGATTTGTAGGTGTTGGATTTTCAAAAGAGAATCTAAACATCGTTAAATAACTTCAATACATCCATGATCCTAACTGTGTACGTACCGATTGAGTACCTAAAATTCTAAAATACTTGCTCGAGTAACAACATATGCTCATGGTTCCAAATTAGTTGTTTTGTCACAATAAGTGTTTCATAGAGCAATCACCTGGGGAGTATTCAACTTCGAAACATCTAATAGATCAAGGATCCACTCACTTGAAAGGTTAATCAACAACAAACAACTCGGTAAATCATCCCACTGATATGAATATTCCTGAGTACCTATAAACAAGGAATTCTTTCCATTAGAAATGGTTCTCTCGAGTTTTGAGTATCATACGAAGAAGAAGGAGAAGGAGAAGGAGAAGAAGAAGAAAAAGGGAGGCTTAGAGAAAAAAAATTTCAAAAAGAAAGTTATACAATTTTATTTTTAAATTAAAAAATCTCATACCCTTTATTTCTTAAATAAAAAAAATATGAAATATGATTAAAATTCGAATAAAACAAATTACACGAAAAAACAATCATATTTTTCTAGTTAATTTGACATCTATATTCATATATTTATCTAGCATTTTCACCTAAATCTTATCCTCCCCCTTCTCCCTCTTTATATATATATATATATATATATATATATATATAGAGGTGAGTTCAAATAAAAACCACTCAATTTGTAAAAACCGTGAAAACCTTATTCAACCAATCATAATTTTTCATTTTGTTCATTTTTTTGTAATTATGAGAGGTTGATTAACCATTTTTATTGTGGAGGGTGTTAATCATTGATATTATTATCTTTATTATTTTAATTTTAGAGAAATACATGAAATAGTTTCATTAAAATTTCATTAAGTAGTATATGAAACAATTTCATAACCACATATGAAACAACTTCATCAAAAAAAAGTATTATATGAAACAATTTCACAAGAACAACAATTTCATGAAAAATTTTCATAAGATTAACCACGGATGAGAGTAGTTTTTACGGTTTTCACAAATTGGAGTGGTTTTCATTTGATCGCTCCTCT